ATATGTATGGTATTGGATAACATCAATACATTTTATCTTTTAATACCATAAATATACACAATTTCTTCAATGGTACGAAGGAAGGGCCAAAAAACTATACGTGGATTTTCCAGATTATGGGGGGTGCCATGTTTCTACCACCTGTGATGTGGAAGGGACAACTGTATACATATATATACATCATTTTTATATATATAACACTTTTTTAAAAAAAAATATGCTTTTTAAAAACAATTATAAATAGTTTAGATGGAGCCAGAGCTTTTCACAGAGTAACCTGCTCTGTTTTTTCATTCTGTAGTTTAAAAAAAAAAAAAGGTACTTATTTCTAATGGGAGCTTTGGTTGGAAATTCTAACGAAAGAAAAAAAAATTAATCCAATGTGGATGGAACACTCCCGGAGGTCAGCTTGATCAAGACCTGGAAGGTTCCTCAGAGGCCAACCAGTCCAATCTCTCTCGTGTTACAAATGAGTAAACCGAGGCCCAGAGAGCTTAAGAATATGTTCAAGGTCACACACGTAGCAAGAAGCAGGAGCAGTATTTGAATCCTAGTCCTTTGCAACACCACGCCCACTCTGCTGAAAAAGAGAAAGCTTTTGCTCATACCACTTGGAAAGCCAATGTTTTATTCTTTAGCCACCTACCATGGGAGCCAAGTATAAAGGTCTGGAATCCTGTAATAAGCTTAATGGGTCTTCATTATTATACATCCAAAGGTATAGCAGGTCAGTACAATTGCTTGGAACATCAGGTTCTGTTGCTAGGACGTGAATACGTCTCTTCAAATGCTATTAATATACAGTGTGATGCAAGGGAAACATTATTGGACTCTGACCCTCAGTTTCCTCATCTGTAAATTGTGGGATTAGACAGCTTCTGAGCTACCTTCTAGTTGTAACTGATTCTCAATCAATCAATCACTCTCCCTACCTCCCTCCTCTCATTTTTCAGATGAGGAAACTGAGGCTCAGGAAACTTAAAGTGATTTGCCCAAAATCACAGATAGTGTGAGTCTGTGTTCACCACATTGTCTTGCCTTCTATTAATACATCGAAAGCCCCTTTACAATTGGTCTCTATTTTCCAGCCTTATTACAGAAAACTCTCCACACACTTTAAGCCTTTAAATCAGACTTCTAGCTATCCCTCTCACACAATGTTCCCCTCCTCTCTTTCTTTCGCTTTCCTTCTTTCTCTCTCTCCTCTTCCATCTCTCCCTCCCCTCCCCACACTGGACAGACCATTCACACCTGGAACGCACTTCTTTCTCACCTCTATCTCTTAGTTAGATGGAGAAATTTCCTTTAATTTTTTCCTTCAAAGCTCATCTTATGCCCCTTCTCTGGGAAGCCTTTACTGATCCCCCAGCTTCTAGTGTCTCTCATCAAAATTATTTATTATGAACATATTTATATAGTTATATCTTATCTCCCCCAGTAGAGTGGAAGCTTCCCGAGGTCAGGCTTTTGTCTTTGTATCTCCAGTATACACCATACTTCCTGGTACAGAGCTTTAATAAATGCTTGCTGACAGACTGACTTCATGAAGGAGGTTGGAAACCAGGCTCTGTTACATGCTCCTGGCGTGACCTTAGACAAGTCATTTCCCCCTCTGTGCCTCAGTTTGCTTATTTTCAAAATAAGGGGGTCAGGCTAAATAATCTCATCGAATTACAAAATTACAGAGTTGGAAGTGATGTCATCTAGCTGAACCCAGCACCAAGTGACCATTGAAGGCTTTGCTCAAATATTTTCCTTAAGGAGGAAGGCGCCTGCTCTGGAGGTAGCCTTTCCACACTGGGATTGCTCTAATTGTTGGCAAGCGTTTCCTAATGTTGGGCTGAAATTTACCTTCTTTCAGCTTTTCCTGTTGCCCCAATTTCTACTCTATGTGCCTTTCCTCCAAGATTATTATCTCCAACTTATCTAGGGCCTATCTGGATTGTACATAATGAAGCTCACATCCATCCTCCGTTAGACTATAAGCTCCTTGAGGGCAGGGGATGTCTTTTGCCTTTCTTTGTATCTCCAATGCTTAGCCCAGTGCCTGGCACACAGCAGGCGATTAATAAATGCTTGCTTAATTGACTTGAATAGTCTCATCTTTGTGCCACATGACGGTCCTGCAGATAAAGTCACTAAAAGTATTCTTTTCTCCATGCTCAACACCCCTTGTTCCTGCAACTCTTTGCTAAGAGTTCTTCCAGCTCCATATCTAAATGTGCCTTTCTGTGGTGCTTTAAGATCTGCAAAGAGCTTTCCCACACAGACTTGGAGTTGCCAGGCAAGTGCTATTGTCTTGCCCATTTAAAAGATGAGGAAACTGAGGCAACGAGAGGTGAAGGGACCATCCGTGTCATTCCCTCTGGGTATTCTCTATTTTACAAGCCAACAAGCAATCAGTGACAAGGGAGACAGATTTCAGTGAGGGAAGATGAACAAGGATTACATTGTCTGTTTCCCGATATTTGGAAAGGGTGGACTGCAGGAATTTACAGGCTGGCCACAGATACGGGAATGAGACAGGCTGCCCAGGTTCAGAGAAGGATAAACAGGCAGATTTTTACAGCACATTTTTTAAAAAAGCTTCATTTGAACACGCAGTGCTACAAACAGCTGACAATAGTAATTTGTTTTTTTGCGTCAGGCAGACTTTAAAATATACCCACAGAAATTCACCTTTAAAGTCAGCTAAGTCTAGAATGAATGGGGCCCATTGGATGTGACTCACAGCTTAGGTAAAGAACAGAATAATACCTGAAAACTTTTAGGGTTCTACAACTGTATATTACATATAGCTCCTCTATCCTCTCCTTCCTTCTCTCCTATCTTTCTTTCCTTTCTTCCTCCCCATCCTCCCTCCTATCTTTCTTTTCTTCCTTCTTTCCATCCTTCTGTCCTGTAAGCAATAATGGGGTGGTTGTCCAGTGTCCCACAGAATGAGGCAGGATTCAAATGCAGATTTTCCTGATTTCAAAGCCACTACAGCACATTGCCTTTCAAGGCTATATTTTAGGATGATCAATCCCACAGCAGCAGGTGAAAGGTGCCGCTAATACTAGAAGCTGAACCCAAGTCCATCTGCCAACCCTAACCATCCCCAGAAGCACATTAACAGTACCGAGAGTGAACAATATTGTCAATTCATGACTCACATGCAGTACAGCCAGTCACATTCCACATCAGATATTTGGGATGTCACAGAGCATTCAAAAGGATTTCAACCCGTCTCAATATTCAAAAACCCTGAGGATCTCTGGCTCAGTCAATAGAATTTTCCTACTTATTTGAAAATGGCTCATTCCAGGTACCACTTCCTCTGGGAAGATTTCCAACATTCCCCTACTTGTTAGTGTTTCCTCTTCTCAGACAATTTTCTATTTGCTTGCTGTTTATGTGTTATATGCACCCTAGTAAAATGTAAGCACCCTGAAGGCAAGAAATGTTCTAATTTCTGTAGCCCTGGTGCCTAGCATTGCACCTGGTACTAAAAAATATATATTTTTATATATTTATATATATTAATATATATTTATATATAACTTTTATTTATATTTATGTATATATATATATGGATTCCATAAAAACAACAACAGATATTTCTGTTGCTTTGAAGTTTACTAAGTATGTTATCTCTATTATTTTGTTTGAGCCTTCAAACAATCCTGTGACAGGTGGTATAGGTATCATTATCTGCGTTTTACAAATGAGGAAACTGAGACTCACAAGTGAAGGGTTCCCAGAGCTATTAAAGTATCAGAGGAAGAATGTGAACCAAGGCCTTACTCATTCTGTGGTTTAGAGCATGCTCTTTGGTATGGGGGATACAGCGCTGGACTTGGAGCCCAGAATACCTGATTTCAAAATGCTAACTCGGACACATATTGATTGCTGGACCTTAGAGAAGTCACCCACCCTCTTAGTACTCGAGGAAACTCTCTGAGACTATTAGTTGGAGGGAAGGTGCCACCTGTTTTGGTAGAGGAACTTATGTCATCTGGAGGTTCTCTATCGATGTAATCACAGGTCTGGGTCCTATCCCCCATCTTATCCATTAAAGAATTCTGCCCCTTACAATCTGAGTTGAATTGAATAATGGCATCATTTCAGACTGCTCTATATCTGTTGTATTCATAGAAGATTTAAAAAGGAAAAACAATAAAAACCATGAAATGCACAGCAGAAATGATAAACCCAGAGCAGAATATAACCCACCTCAATATGCCTGAGAATATGAGATGTTCCATGGCTTGAACTCCTCTGTATACCGGGGGTGACGATCCCTGCCTGGCCTTCACGTACCACTAAAAATGAGAGCTGGGACATGAGCCTCCATAACTGTGGCAGAATACACTAGGTCACAGCTGGGATTTCAGTCATACCCATGAGGTTGACTGCTCCTGTGGGGTTCCTGAGACACCCTTACCGCACTGAATAGCCCAGTTACCCGCTTAGCAAAAATACAAGGGCACTATTATTTATCTCATTAGCAGCAGCATGGTTCCCTAGCTGCAAGAATTTTAAGCAATCAGGGCTACAAGAGCCCCAATAAATGGACCACAAGAAAAAACAAATGGTGGACAAATATATTTTAAAATCCTTTCGAGTGTCTTTAGAAGCAATCACGATCTGGGGTGAGGGGATCCCTGACATGGAATGTCACTGGATTAAAAAACAACAACAAAACACACCACCCACATACATAGGGAAAACAACCCAAGATGAGCTAGAAAATAAAGCGCTTCTACGATCCAGATCCACCCAAGACAGTAAATAACCCAAGTACTTCTGACTTTTCTCATCATTATGCACCGAATACAACACAGCCTGGCTTCTCATGCAACCATCTCTCTCCCCCATTCCTCTCTCTTGTTGTTTTTTGGTCCCGGAAGGATGGCACAATCAATCCCTCCCCAGCTTTCTCCCTCCTCCTCCCCAGCCCACAGGCCCCCCGCCAACCCCAGCCCCCAAAGCATTTTCCCGGCCGCAGCAGTACTCACTCTGTTAAAACGTTTGGCTTGAAACAGATGCCCATTCACTCGGTACAGCTTCCTCCATCTTCTGGCCCCTCGGCGGTAGATTGATTCTAGAAAGGATATTAAAAAGGTATAAAGCAGCAACATAGTACATAGCGGACACAGCCCGGGATGCACGAGCCCGGGCTTAGAACAGCCCTGCTTTTCTTTGCATCAAAACAGCCGAAATCCTGGATGCCAAAGCATTCTCGAGAATCGCCAAGGAAAAGCTTGGAATGACAGCTGCTTCTACCTCCGGCCTCTCCCTTCTGTCTGCCCCACTCTCTGTCTCTCCTCTCTCTCTCTCTCTCTTTCTCACATGATAATCATCTTGTTACAGTTCCCAGGGCCGCTTGCTGTCTGGAGCTCAGGTGAGAAAGACACCGTCAAAAGCCCTGCTACCCTACCCTCGAAGCCAACTGGGGAGGGGCTGGAGGGAGGAAACGTACAACATTTCTCCCAGCTGAGGCACTTCTGTATTCCAACACAAAGGAGAGATGTTAGCTCATGACAAGGCGGGGGTGGGGGGTGGGGGGGAAATCCCAGACTTAGGACCAATTACATATCTGGTGGGCCCTGTAATTGGTTGGGTTTTCCATTCTCCTTACCTTTGGGCTAAGGCAGGAGAAAGAGAATATTTCCCCCCATAATGGAGCATAAATGGTACTGTGAGCTTATGTGATTGTTTTTGCTGCTGTTCTAAGGTAACAAAAACTTCAACATTTTAGATGCAATATCTAGTTAAACACACACACACACACACACACACACACCTACACACACACCAGTGAAATTAACAACAGAAACTTGCACATGCTTCAATTTCTTCCTCAAGGATATTCCAAACTGAAATTGACCAAACCTTTATCCTGAATGGTGATGTTAAAAATATATATATGTGTGTATGCACACACACACACACACACACACACACACACACACACACACACAGGAAAAAGGCTGAAGATAAAATTAAACCTGAATTATAAGCAACTTAAACTTCACATCCTTTCCAACGAAAACCCACAGAATTCAAACTTAGCTTCTGTGACAAGAAGGAAAGAGAGGATGTCCAAAACCATGTGTATATATATACACACACCTAGGTGTCACAGGTTTCCTTTCCGTGGGAGGGGAAAGCATTTCTAACTCTGCTGTCTCAAAACACCATAAAATAAATACATCTAGGGGGAAAAGACTTCTGAAAACCACACACAATAAAAAGCTTTGTGCTAGTTTTTAGGGATTTAAAAAAAAAATCCTATCCTAAAAGTGACTTTCATACAGGCAATGAAAAGTACTATGGGTTTGTTAATGTGGAAATTTTAACTGTATGTTTTTTAAATAAGCAAATGACTAGCCTTGGCTGTAACCTGCCTAAAATTAGGTCACAGCAATTGCGAAACCCACTTCTTTCTCTTTAAATAGGGAATTGGTGGAGAACTGGAACTCAACCGGAGTCCGTGGTGAACACTGAGACTCTCATACAAAGTCTCTAAGAAACCTCAGTGTGGAGATGGGAGTGACCATGTTCCTGGAGCTATTTCCAAGGTCTGGTCCATCAGCTGTGCTATCTCTGGAAGTACCATCTAGAATCCGAGATTGAAGAATCTCTGGATTCTCTCTCATCACAAATCAATTAGTAGTGGGAGCTCAAAAATCTTCCCTGAGTTAACGATGTCTTGTGGAGATTGCTCTTTGACGATACCAATGTTTCCCAACCACAAGTCCTTGGTTTATAATATAATGGCTTGGCTTATAATTAAAAAAAAAGACCTGAGTTCAAATCCTGCTGGCTCTGTGACCCTGGCCAAGTCACTTAAGCCTCAGTTTCCTTAAACAAATGAGAGATTTGGACTCAGTGGCCTCATCAGTCCCTTCCAGCTTCTAAATCGATGATCTTGTTATGGTCCATCCAGATCAATCTACACCTAAATTCAAATTCAGCGAACATTTATCAAATACCAACTATGTGCTAAGCATTTTCCTCTACGATGTCCTTGACAGTGTCAAACAGCCTTTCGCTCTTGCCCACGGGCTGAAATTATAGAAGGGACCCTGAAGGCCATCTAATTCAAACCATACCCTTCATAAAACCCCACAAAGTCACCATCCAACCTTTACTAGAAAACAGAAAAATATAAGGTCCTTGTGGGTGGGCAAGGGTTATTTGTCAGTTTTGTATTTGAATCTTTGTACCAAATTTTGTCCCTATCACACACTTAATAAACACTGGTTTCACTGAACCTGAGACTGTGGACAGAAATCCACCCAAAACATATCTTTTTAATACTGACATTTCCTGGGAAGGGCTGTTAGATCCTTTGGTTGTCTGGACAAGCTCAGTTGCACAAATCCCTAAATCTATAAGGAATTCAGAGAGCAGAGAAGCAGGTTTCATCTTGTTTAAAGGTCTTGGTCAGGTCTCAAAGCAACCCTCTGACTCGCCAGAGGGAAATGGCCCCACTTCTCCCAACCTTCCTGACCACAGCCCTGCCTCCCTTCTCCTTATTGTCCCCATACTTCTCCCCAACTTTCTTCCCAAGGAGAGTTGTGACCAAGGCTGTGGGTGCTAAGATATCTGGAGGGGTACGGGGAGGAAGGAAGGGTACATGCCAGGTCTCTGTCTATGTCGGCACAGGAAATAACATCACCGGCATGACTCATGTTTAATGTGCAGACAGATGGGCTTGTCTGGACATTACTGAGCTAAACCAAGTCACAGAATCACCACGGGCTCCCATTTTTGACAAACACTCCCCCCCACCCCCATCCCCACCTTGCCCCTTAATTCAATTCGATTGAATACAATCACTGGATTGTAGATAGGTATGGAACTGGAAAGGTGCATCTAGTCCAACCACTTCAATTTAAAGACAAGAGAACTGAGCCCTAGAGAGGAAAAGTGTCACTCAGGTAGCCAGCGACCCATGAACTCTCCCCTTCTCAAATCTTTTCACAGACACAAAAAACGGGTGGGGGGGAAGAGTATATACAAATAACAATGAAAGAGGCTCAACCCTGATGAGAGAAAATTCATTTTCATCCCTGGAATGAATGAATGCACATATTGAAGCTTTTATATACATACATACATACATACATACAAGCATATATTACTATGTACAAAGCATTGGGGGTGCAAATAGAATGGTCCTGGCCTCGATGAGCTCCCAGTCTAATGGGAGAGACAACAGGTATGGAAGGGGATCAGCCATATGGAGAGGTCACAGGTCCTTGGGGTACACTTCCTTGAAGAACTAGAGGGTTATGGAAACAAAAAACTGAACATACTATTGGACTTGGCTTCTATCGTTAAGTTTCTGATCTGTTTTTTTTTTCTTTCTTTTTAATCTTTGTTACAAAGAATGGCTCTCTGTCTAGGAGGAAGAGATATATTTGGAAACGAGGAGGTGATTTAAAAATCAAAAGACTGTAACAAGTTAAATAAAAAAAGACTACTTAGCAATATCATCTTTTGTTTCATTCCAAAGAATAATACAATTACTGTATTCAATCTACACAATTCACTGGTGTATAGCAGTGGTGTCAAACTCAAAGAGAAACCAGAACACTAAGGACCTCTGCAGCTACATAGCGACTTAGTTCTAAAACATACTATTATCTGTGTTTGATTGTACTTTAACTTATTTTGTTAAATATTTCCCAATTTCATTTTGATATGATTCAGGCCATACTTGAGAGTATTATGGGCCATAAACAGCCTGGCTGACAGCCCTGCTGTAAAGATTCCCTCACCCCTGTAGCAAGAAAGTTACCTGGGGTATGCCAAAGGTGACGTGACTTGCCCAGGGCCATATGGCTACTCTAAGTCAGATGAAGGACTTTGATGCCCACTCTCCAGGAAGCCATTGGGCCAATCTTGAAGCTTATATTCTACATCTAATATCGAGAGACTCAGAAGAATGCCCCCGGCCCAATGGGTAGACTCTTTTTGGAGGTTTTATGGGAGGACGTGGATAATATCCACACTAGATGAGATGGCACTGAATTCCCACCAATGACATAGAGAAACACATCAACGAGCTATTCTGACTCTACAGAAGGATGAAAGCAGTCTATGGTACGTATTTACCACTATCAAGGCTCTTCTCTGTGAAGTGAAGGCATATTGAAGATCCTTAATACCTGAGTGGCTTTGGACAAGTCATTTTCCCTCAGTTTCCTCATCTGCAAGATGAACAGATTGGACTAGTTGAACCGTCTATGAATCCTTTTAACCTACAGTAAATTACCCCTTCCTCATCCCTTTGAATCACACCCCCTTACTTAGGCTAAGAAGAAATGAATTAGCTTCGTCCTTCTTGGGCCCAGAGCGCAGAACTAGGAAGTATGGATGGAGATTATGAAGACCCCCAACTGGGAATTTTCTCTTACATCCAGAGTTATTACCCATAAGGGCAGTGCTCAGTCATGGTAGGGGTGGGTGGTAGGGTCCCATTCACTGGGTCTTCAAATAGAGGCCAGCTGTTCACTCCGGACAAATTGTAGTGGGGATCACTGACATGGCATCTGAGATCCTTTCCACCTCTGAGATTTGGTAAAAAGCTGATTTAAGGAGCATTTGCTGCTATTGACTAAAATCCAGAAACAATGACTTTCTCCCTGGCCCATCAACTTTGCCTAGCACTGGAAAAGTCACATGGAAGTGGGCAGCCCAAACAGCAGAAACCCACATTAACCAAACCACAGGCTCTGCGTGGGCAGCAGTAGCAGACACACACAGCACTTTCCAGAGTGGTTCATTAGCAAACTCTGCAGCCCTATAGAAATGTGAATTCATACATGCATTATTTAGATCTGGAAGGGAACTAGGGTCAGAGGTAAAAGCCCTCATTTACAGATGAGGAAATGGAGGTATAAAAGTGTTAAGTGACCTATACCTGTTCTAATGGTCTGACACAGGGATCTGAACCCATGTTTTCCTGACTCCACGTTCAGTGCCCTATCTCAAAACCTACTGGCATTCCCAAGTGGTCACCTATCCAGGTATCAACCACTGCTTGGCTTATCCTATCAGATGACATCAGAAACATCAAGGCTTAGATGG